CCCAGCCTGCCCCACCAGCTGCACACGCACCCCCTCCACCGGACCGGCATTGTCATGGGGGGTCCACGAGGCCCCAGAAGACAGATCCTGCTCAACAAAAGCTGTGATAATTTAGTAACCTTGTGGATGGCCTTTTGCAGTCTCTGTGGACTCATTGGATAGAAGAGACCATATTACACATTTTAAAATGCATGTTTATTTAAAAAAAAAAAAAAAAAAGCATGTATCAGAAGCAGGGTTGGACTGGGATTAAAACTTGTCCCTGGACTTTGGCGTCCCTGAAAATACATTTTGCCCCAGCCCACATGCCCAGTATGCCAGATGGCCAGTCCAACCCTAATCAGTACACAGAGCTGCCCTCTAATAGGGGCGAATGGGGAAGACTCTCAGGGGTGCGGACACCAGGGGGTGTCCATGAGTGTGTGAGTGTGGATAACGGTAGCTTTGGTGGGGGGGGATGCATTCAATAGAATTTTTCAAGGGCCCGTCCACATATTTGTGCTGTTAGAACAAACAGCTTCATGGCTATAACAAAGCAAGTGCCTTTTTAAACTACTTTGAGGGACCAAGTTGCTGTTGCCTCACCTGTAGAATGGATACCCATCCATCAATCTTGATTACGAATCGGGGCGGTACTCTCACTGGAATGTCCATGCGGCCCCCGTCACTCGCAGAGTGAGATGGACCCGCTGAATACCTGCATGACAGACATGGCGACTGCTTTCAATTACAGCTGCGAGTCCAGCTGCGCGGCGCAGTCGGCCTCGATGACGGCTGGTAGAAAGGACCTCTCAGCTGCGCCAGAGACGAGGGGAGTGTTTTAATGATGCTCAATGAACCAATTATACGCTGCTGCAGATGTTCCATGCGACCGGTGCTCCGGGAGCGAGAGGCAGAGAAGAGAGAAGAGTATCAGTCAGAGAGATACAGCAGCACTGTGGCTCATGATCACACTGGCAGCTTGTTACGGTGGATGGTGATGCTTCTCCCTGTCCACAGAGCCACTGGCATCCACGCCCCTGCCGAAACAGAGAGGCTGGCGTCCACCCCAGACAGAATTATACTGCGGCCAGATGCAGTCTGAGCTGAAAGCCGGCCATAAAACCTGCGGTAATCAACGCTAACATTGACAGCGGGGTGTTATTCGGCGTTGCCCGGGAGACGGCTTCCCGCCTCACGTGCCGTGCCGTACCGCGAAAGACTTTCCTTGGTCTCCAGCCGGCCGGCCCTACAGAGAAACGTGCTCGTCGCTGGTTGATTAGTGAGACCTTTGAACACCTGCACGGATAAGTCCGAGGCTCCCTTTCAGCGTTCTCTCTCTCTCTGGCTCAACATTCGGAATCAAGCTGAACACTGCATGGTCAGTGATTCCCACGTGTCACCTTGGGAATTATTTTGAATTGTGTGTGTGTTTTAGTAATTATTACATTGTGGGGACCAGATTTCCCCACTATGCGATAAGAACCTGTAACTTTTTACCTTGTGGGGACATTTTTTCGGTTCCCCCAAGAAGAACCTTAGTTTTATAAAAATCTGGATGCAATCAGAAAACTTAGAATCCCAAAAGTCTTGTATTTAGTTTGTTTTTTTCTGGTTAAGGTTAGGGCTGGGTATGGATTAAGGTCGTCACTGCTGGATGAGTTTTCCCATATAGAAATGAATGGAGAGTCCCCATCAAGATATGAATACAAACAGCTTTAGTATAAGAATGTTGCTTAATCTCAGCTATTATGTTCTCCATCCAGCTGTGTGCTTTCATTGATAAGCACCTCAAATATATACACTACTTATAGAAGACATGTGTGGCAGGAGGGAGGCAAGTAGTGTTGAGACGACGAAGTAACCAAATGCAGGTTAACTGCCTGTGGTCCCTGGGCATCTACATAGCATGACATCTGCCCGTCCCTATGGGGATTGTGCCCCCTCTTGTGGCCACAGAGTGTGCTGACAACCTTTCAAAAGTGTCGGCCTCAGTGTTGCTGAAGAGAATCGCGGTTTTCTGTATTTTAGTTCTGTCCACTTACATTTACCTCAAACTTTTATATAAAAAGTATATTATTGGAATAAATGTATCTTCACAGAAGAGGAATGACTAAGAATTGCCTCTTTAAGGAAAGACACTGAAGGAAGAATGAATCATGCTGCTCCATAAGAACAATATCTATTTTGAAACTGGAATCACAAGGGAGATTTTTAGGATTGGCTCTAAAATTGTGTTTTCTTCTTAATTTTCCAGAAAATCCAAAGTTTATTTTGGAGATATTAAACAATTTTCGATAAGGTTTGAACCAAAGTCTCCATTAAGACGCTGTGTCTGTAATTGAAAGGTTGTTGGTTCACATCCCTGGGTTGGAAGAGTGACATCACCATTAGGCCCCTGACCCCTACCCAGTATCTCCAGGGACGAAGTGACAGATCTTCCTGTCACTTTGTTGCATAAAATGTGCATTGATTTAGATAAAAACATCTGTCAAATAAATAAAATGGTAAAGCAAATAATAAAGTTATAAGACTGTAGGTTAATGGACAGACTCCTGCAGAGAGTGCAGTGTCCAAAGGTGTGCTGCGTAACCCAAACACTGTCCCATTGACTTGGTTATTGACTATTTGTTATCAGGCAGCTGTGTTTCGCTGTGGCTGGTGCCGACTGCCTGTCACTGTCCACCTGGACCATCCATGCATGAGTCTCGACACACCAATGAGCGTTGCGATGCAGCTGGGTCTTCCCTGTGAGCGTGATGCGGTTCAGCTCGGTGCTGCGGTGGGGCTGTCACTCTGCGTTCAGCTGTTGGCTGAGTTGTAGCGTATGGCCCACTGCCAGCCTGCATTCAGTAAAACAGAGCACATATGAAACCCCTTCAGTGCGTTCCTTTCAAGGAGCAGGTGAAGAACAAAACAAGCCAGCGAACGCACCCGCCTTGTGCCAAACAGACAAGAATTTTACCACCAGAATACCCACAGAAGAACAATGGTGAGTCTGACTGGTCACAGGCGTGTGTGTGTGTGTGCGCGTGTGTGTGTGTGTGTTGCGGGAGGGTGTTGCGGGGGCACAAAAAACTGTGCACCACCCTCTGTGGTCTTTACACTCATTTCAATTTAATTGCAGTGTGGGGGGATTATTAATTACCCAATCAAATAATCGCTCGGTGAGTCTGACAGGAGTCCTGAGTGGAAACTGAAGCGGAGAGTACGGAGACGTGAATTAATTGGACGGTTACGTTTCAGGCATTTTATTTTGAATGAAAACAATCCTGAAGCAGGGGAGCGTCCTGGTCTCTGGCTGCCAGGCCCCCGCGTCACTGGCAGACCAATTTCACCTCATTACCTCTTGGGTATTAATATAGACTTCTTTCCATGAGCTGAGTTCTCTCAGCAGGCACTCCTAAAACACCTACAATTAACCCCTTGTGAATAGCGTCCGTGTTCACCCCTGAGGTGTTGTCTGGAGCCGTCTGGCTGCCCCCACCCTCACAGACACACCTCCTCTCATTTTCTCATGTTCATTAGGTCGTAATATATCACGCGTCTTGTTTTCCTTACACTGCAATTTATGGGGTGCGTGCCGAACCCCAGGACGTGCGTGATGAGCGGCAGGGACCGTGCCACCACAGAGCCACACATGTCGTGTTCCTGCCGGGGGGATTCTCGACCATGAGGCGCCATCTTGAAGTTGCCCCGATATGGGGAATCCCTCCTGCACATGCTTGCCGGACAGTCCACGTGGGAGGGAGCAAAAATGTGGACTGTCTGCCAGGGAGCTGGGAGGGAGCAAAAACATGGACTGTTTGTCGGTCCCCGAGGACCGGATTGGGAAGCACTGCTTTAAACTCTATGCTCCGAGTTCCCACTTCACTACTGTTTGGTCTGTGCAAATAAAAGCTGCTTATCTGATCTGGAACTTTCTGCATGTATTACATAATTCTGATTAATTACATAACTCTGGGACTAGGATTTGTGTTTTAAATACAATTTCACTTTACATGGTAACCTAAAGCATATCTTCAAATCATAAAGCAAAAATTAAACATAATCTGTAACCTGAAAACTGACTTTAATGAGATTGCACTTTACTGGCAAAGATTTTTTTAAATTTACATTCAGCATCCATTAACAGGAAAATAAATAAATGTTTTAACCAATAACAGGCAGACACTAATAAAGCTTTTTTAAGGTCAGCTGACTTACGTAAGGCTACAAAACCTTAGCCTTAGCAAACTTTTTACATAAAGAAAAAACAAGGTAAGAGGATGTGGGGAAACATGGTCTGTGTTTGACGCACACGGTAAAGTGCTGTCCAAAACGGTACTGTATACATAGGGCTGTGTGGATATACATTTAAGTACATAATGCATCACTAGCCTTTGCAGCCAGGCTTTTACAGTCATGATATGAGCTTCTCTTTTGTTTTTGCTTTAAGGGATGTTTTATATAATAAAATTCACAATAATCAGGGTCTCAACTGAGCTGCTGCCTTGTAAAAATAACTGTTTAGTTCAGGGGTGTCAAACACCAGTCCTGGGGGGTCAGAGCCCTGTGTAGCTTAGTTCTTTCCCTGATCCACCACAAATGATTCAGCTCAAAAGCTGCGTTGTAATTTCCACAAGGAGTTGAATCAGGTGTGTTAAATGAGGGTAAATCAAAAACTGTGCAGGGCTCCGGCCCCCCAGGACTGGTGTTTGACATCCCTGGTTTAGATTATAATGATATATTTTCAAAACATTGTATAAGCTTTGTACATATAATCATTAATAATGTGTGAAAGTCGAACTATTGTCACAGAATCAGTTCAGGCTGAAATCAGAAACCGTCATTTGCCAGGGCGAAATTTATAGTGGGTAAAATGAGCCTGTAACCATTTTACTTCAATCAAATATAAAATACTTAGAAACCAAAGGATGCAAATAACTTACTTTTCTGCATATTAGTAAGAAATATATTTCTGATATATTGTGATATATTGTGATTATCCCGAAAAATATAAAAGGCTTGACAGACTTTTTGCGCAACAAAGTAGGCAAAACATTAATTGAACTCACTTTTAAATTCACCTTTACATTTATTTTTATTTTTTTATGATCTCTACCTTTATTCTAAAACCAATCAAGTCTGCACATAATAATATAAAGAAGATAAGTTCTACTACCTCTTTCCTAAATCGAGTTAAATTTGATGAGAGCATTGTTCATAAAACCAAGTTGTGGTAAAAGTTTTACAGCTGGGCTTCACGGTCAGAGCCCGGGCAGCACCGAGGTAAACTGCATGCCTGATGCATTGTTGAAATGAACTGAAAAAAAGTGCAGAGGTGATGGTCAGGGTAATTATGTCATATGTATTGCACCCTTCCACATGATATAATATTTATGTCAGAATTCTCGATACAGCCATGCCACAGGATATTGCGCGTTTAATTTGATTCGTTGATCCCAAACAAAGTATACAGTGAAGCAAGTCAGCCAAGAAAAGATAACTGCAACCTAAAAACAAAAGGCATAGGAACAGCCATAAAACGCTCCCAGCTGAATAATCAAACGCTTCAGCCTTGTGAATTGAATAACACTAGGCTGTTCCTTCGGTAAAGATTGGCTTTATTTCCAGAGTTAACTATAGTAATAGACTGTACAAGGCATCGTTGGACAGAGCACACTCAGGACACTCATTAAACAAGACTTAACTTGCAACAGAGGGATTTTACATTTAAGAAACACACCAATGGTGAACTTCAGTGTTCATGGGGCCCAACTTTTTATAATAAGCATATTCAGGTCAATATATTCCCCACAGACCAGTGAGTGATCGATGTGTGAAAGTGCGATGATTAAGATAGTTCATCTGTATCTATACCAGTAATATGTCATAACTATCTTCGACCGTTTGCTCTATTGAGAAAACTAAAACAACTTTCATTTTCAGAGACATGACGCTAAATATTATCCGGAGACATTTGCATGTAGACTAGGTGACACTCAATTCTAATGAACTGGAGCAGACAAACGAATATTTCAAAGCTAGGTTACCACAAATTAACTAATATTAGCTTAGAACTGCAGCCTTGACATGATCTCTTCTTAGATGTGTGATAGAACCAACAGTTTGGGGTGGTGAGGTAAGGCTATAGGGTCACCATATTTGGTGAGACGAAACGGAGGACACTCTGTCGCTTACAAAATGTTACAAATGTAAAAGACATTTTTTAAAAAGTCTTCTGCCTTTGCCATGCGAACAGCCATAGTTGTAAAATACATGTAATATCTAATAAAAAAACGAAGAAAAATAGCAGTTTTAATTAAGAAATAAAATACAATAAAATACGTGATAAAATGTTTTTCAGTGAAAGTTACAAAAAGTTTGTTAAACTTCAAGCAAATGAAGGGATTCACTATTCACACAAAAACAAAAATACAATATCCAATAAAATGCCAATGGTTTCAGGAATTGACGTGACTCGTGAGCCGCGTGACAGTTAGGTATATGTCTATCGTTTAACTTTTACAGTAAAGGTGCAGGATCCTTGAAAAACACTGTGGGCTGATCTGGAGTTGCTGCTGTATATTGAAAATTGATGCCTTTTCCCTCATTTGGTACTGCACTGTAACTTGCAACACTGGGTCATACAGGTTGCAGCACTAAACCCAAACAAACCGCCGATTTTTGAAAAACCGCCCAGACAGGCGTCCAAACGGAGGACGTGTCGGGGACGTCGCAAGGTAAGGTTGGCTTGGATGGGTGAGCTTGGTGGTTGTACTGTGGTGAAAGTAAACACACTTTTCCTGTACGACCCGATGGTGCACATAATTTAAATTTGTTTACAACAACTTGAAACCATAAACTAAAATCAGGTGCCAATAGTTTATGTATTCACGCGGTCAGCGGTGACCTGGGTGGGGGAGTACGATATGCTTTCATGGGGTCCAAAATATCGAGCAGTGTTCCTGTACAAAACAAAACAAAAGTAGTTAGAGTTCATGGTATGTAAATATAACCCAATGTTTGTATTAGGCACATGAAACTATTTTCACACAATTGTTTTGCAATAATCCCGTCGACATATCACGATATACGATTTCGTTAAGTCGGAGTGTGTGGCGATTTCGCCCAAACATTATATTTGTAAAAACATGGTTAAATTTTGTATTACGTAATATCCGTTTAATGTAGCTTTGGACAAAACCATCCGTTAAAAATGACTGCAAATGTAAGTACTTGTAAGAGTATGCTGACATTATCTGTTATTGGCTGTGATACTTAACTGGTGGGCTGGTTTTGTTGAAGAAGAATGCTTAAATACACAAAGGAACGCTGAATACATAATTAACAGTTTATAATACGCATTATATTCATAGTGTAATGAATTGCTGGATTTTATTCCATTAAGGTATTTCAGTGGTTCAAATTAAAACAATCTGATGATATGTACTTGCTTTCCTGCTTGTTAAGTGTAAATGTAGGTCTGTATTTCGTAATTAATCATGATAAATGCTTTACTTACTGATTAAAAAAAAAAAAACAATATTTTTACAATGGATCAATTCACTGGTGTATAACTGATAACGTCACGTTTAAAAAATCAAAAACCTGCTTCTAGCTATGAACATATACAGGGCAGTTGGAATTTTAGTAAATGTAGAAGATCGGCAAACAAGCAGATGTATACAACACTCTCCCACCAGGGTTAGATTTAAAAATCTTTTCATCTACACAGGTGCATTGCGACGTAATAACAGGGAAAGAAATCCTTCTGGGGGAGACCTGAATAGAAACGTTGAGGGTGGGGGGTTGATATACCAGGTGTGTTTGTCAGGTGCAGATAATCTGGATCAGTCATACTGTATATTGAAAAATTTCGGGTCCGTATGCTGGTTCTGGGTCTCCTTTTTGCAGCCACCTGAATCTGGAGGGGATCTGCGGGGATCTGGAGCTGCAGTGCTGGAGGGTGTAACAGAGCGCATGCTAGCTGGTGCTGCTCCCCTTGGTGCCCAGATGCCCAGGTAGGTGCCCTGACCTCAGAACCTGTGAGCATCTTAAGGCTGCTCTGACGTTAACTGCCATCTGGTAAAAGTGATTATGCAGAACTTTGCAATTATTTTGTTAAACATTATATAATGAAAACCAAAAAATGTGGTAACATTTTCTATGAATGCCATGTCTGTAAGAATCACATTCATAACACAGTATAATGCATTCATAAAGCAATTATGATGCTCTCATCTATAATGCACTATAGATACCTCCATATTGCAGTGCAGTGCTTCATTAGGTCTTATACTGACCATTATAATGTATTATGAAGGTATCTATAGTGCATTATAGATGAAAGCTTCTCTGGAACTTAAGAAATGTTGTAATCAACACTATAATACCTTAAGACTGCCAATAGAAGATACTGTACTGCTTCATTAATCCTTATACTGACCATTATAATGCATTATGAAGGTATAGATGAGCTTCAATGGAGCTTATTAAGTATTATAATAAACACTATAATGCCTCATGACTGTCAGTAGAAGATGCTGTAGTGCTTCATTAATTTTTACCCGACCATTATAATGCGTCATAAAGATATGTATAATGCATTATAGATGACAGCTTCAGGTAAAGTGCTACCAAAAATGTTAATGCTCACTTTAATTACAGCTGTAAGTGTATTGACTGTGTTTCAAAAGTTAACCTCTACCTGCCCAGAGGTCAGAACAAACAGGAAGTCCCTGCAAGTACATTTGGGTAATTTGGTCCATTGGATCTATGTGATTTGTGGTGACTTTTGTGTCCCAGCTGATACGCAGGAGAACTTTCTGAGGTTACTGCTGCAGGGGATGGCCAGTGCAGGAGAGGATGTCAGGAAAAAGGTCACTTACATGGATAAACAGCCAGTGTATATTTTACCGTAGTATTCAATTTGTATTGAAGGCCTTAATGTCACTGTCCAGATAAAATGGACAGCTTGTCCTTATAGCTTGTCATTGTCTGGTGTGTGTGTGTGTGTATGCTGCCTGTCTGACTTTGGCCTTAAATGCACAGCTGATCTGAAAGTTCATACTGAATGTGTAGTGTAAAAGCCCACCCCCTCCCCCTTTCAATTAGCCCCTCCCTGAAGCTGTCCATATTCAGAAGTGAGAAATTGATCTGCCATTCTTAAAATTGCTTCCTGATCTCTAAATCAAGCATTGCCCTCCCTCACAATTCCAGCATTCATAAGACCTTACGGATCGTAAAAAGCCTGCCTGCCCCGGCTGCCCCCGCCAACAGACACACACAGACAGGCACACATACATATATAATACTCTACTTCTCAAATCTGACCTTGAAAAAATAACTGAATTTTTTTGGGCCATTTTCTAGAACCTAACTTACTGTAGGACAGAACAGTCAATGACATTACATCCCCAAATCAGTGTTTAGCTTGGGTTCTGGTTTTCCTTTCAGAAAATAATAAAAAAAAAATGAATATAAGCCATTGGGGCTGTCTGTGGAGTGTGGACACAGTAGCAGAAAGAAATGAATTTAGAAATAGTTACACCACAGAGGAAAAAAAAATAAATTGATGGGCTGGTTCATTTACCAGGAGGTCCCAATCACTGGGTAGTCCTGTACTAGACAGGGCCGGGGTCACGTGTCACGGGTTTTCTAATTTAATAAGGGATGCCTTAAAATGTGCAACTTTTTAATTTGTTCGCATGTCCTCATTTAACTCCAGTTCTTCCTTTACGCAGGACTTGCGTAATGCAGGCCTGCACAGCATCCAGCGGGAGTCTGAAAAAGCAGCAGATCAGAAGTTAGCCTTATGACACAAGCAAGCTGTTTTCTGGTAAGATCGAATGGCTGGCAGCCTCTGCATATATCAGTAATTTTCAGGCATCTGTAATATTACCCTCGGCCTGTTTTACTCTTCGCCAAATGGACTGACTGTGGAGATGGAATCTGCTATTCATTAGGTAAGCCTTAATTTTATATTGTTAATGATATTTGACAGGTAAGAAAAACTCACCTGATACGATTTTCACAAGTATTAATTGCTGAGGTCACTACATCTCAAAATAAATGAGACAGTCTGCCTCCTCAAGAAGAGAAATAATGTCAGTGAAAGCAAGAGAAATACTATCACTCCCCTAACAGATTTGCATCTGAATGTTTATTTGAAGAGTGCAACAGTGTCTCAGACACAGGGATCAATACGGCACTATTTAAAGACTGAGTTTCTGAAACAGTCACTGTCTTTTACTCTGAATTTATAAAGCCAATGAATTTACTCCAGCCGGCCGCTGGCCCCTTTGAAAATATGTTCATCAATCAGCGAATGGCAACATTGAGTTTCAGGTTAGTTTAGAGGGCGACGGCTTCCAAGGTCAACTCAGTTTACAGGTCACCTCCTGCTTCAGGCCTGCGAGAACACCGGTCCGTGACTCTGTCGTTTCCTCCAACGTGGCACACGTCAAAGTTTACTTTGTGGTTTCCAAAATTGGATCCTGGCTCCGGGAGGCTGTAGTTTCCATAGTAACCCTTGGCCTTATCTGCTACCGTTTTTTGGCAGTCAAACAAAAAAGCCTTTCAGCTTCCTTCTCGGCCAGAGACACTGGGTCATTTGTACATTAGCGACAGAATTAAAAAGGGGGGGAAAAAATTCATCATTTAAAAAAACAACTGAAAACATACAGTGTCTTCACATTTAAAAACTCTTAAATTAGGAAAACTAATATGACAGAGCTTTAAAGTGCTGCAGCTCAAAATTAAATTAAATAAGAACTTGCCCAGAATAAACACTTTGACTTTACACGTCACTTTGCACTTGAGATATAACAACACTTCTTTATTAAGGGATAATGAGCGTAATTTTATAGTGTGATAACTCTTGTCTGTGCCTTGCTTTTGGGTTTCTCTGATGGGGCTGAGACTGTTTTTCTCAGTCAGTTTACCGTCCATCAACCTTCTGCCAGCTTCTTCAGATCCCTGTTATTCCTACGTAAATGTTCCATTTTCTCTCTGCCTGGCCAGAATGGAACGCAGGGCTCGCAGCTTTACCGTAAATATTAGACGTATCCTGGCGTGCGTCTGTGTCTTAATGCACTGTGGAATGGCTGCGATGCAGAACGATAGTCAACAGTGACAACAGGCAACTGAAAGTATATTAAATCCTTATTGATTTGGATTAACGTGCGACGCTGTAAGCAGTAAAAGCATAAGAGCACTTAATGAAGCACACATTTCTTGTAAATTGTCACTTTTTTAAATACGTTTTTTTTCCCTATCTTGTTTGTGTTGATGGGGTTTTGGGAATATGGATCGAAATGTGTAGCGTCACGTTTAGGACCAAAGAGTTACACTTTGATTTAAGAAAGGTAATACAGTAGCAATAATGAATATAACTATTAATTATTTTTACCGAGCAGAGTGGGGCGATTCAGGGGGTGTCCTGAATGAGATGCCTGTCTGACATCATGCAGACACACAATATCACATTAGCAGACGTTAAAACACCTAAACCGCATGTCTTTGGAGTGGGTGATTTTATAATTTTTTCATATTTTCTATGCTTTTTATGCACTCTGGAGTCCCGTCTGTATTTGTGGAATCATCTGTTCTGCATGTGTCCTGTGATACATGGGTTTCTGATGTGTGTGTGTGTGTGTGTGTGTGTGTGTGTGTCTACAGTATATACTGTATATTTCAGTATCCCCTGTATTCTGTGGGGCTGATCATAGTACAGAAAACGGCTCCCAGATAACTAATCCTGCCTCACGGTCTCCTCGCATTACCGGCCTCGGAGCCATAGATTAGCAGCAAAAGCCAGGAGATCATCAGCCTTAAGACATATAAAATATTGTGTGATGAGAGTCCAATCAGAGCAACTGTTTGCAAAAAAAAAAATGAAGGAAAAAGACTGCTCTCCATAATGGCCCTGGAACTATTACTGTACTAACAGTCCCTGTCTGTCATCATGACCATATAAAAACAAATTAGTCACATGATTAATGGACGGGGATAACAGCTCGCAGGTTGGCCACGATGATGGGACCCCCAGGGCGAGACCCCAACGCCCTGCACTCTGACCTGACGTCAGCTGCCTCAGTGTAAACAGAGCGACTCTCCGGGTCGCCGTCAATCGGCACCACTATCAGCACCTCACCGGGCCGGGCCACAGGAAAGGCCCGGGTCATGTGGGGTGAGAGGGGGTGGCCCGAATAATGACAGTGCTGGGGGATAGTGAGGGGGCGCAGGGCACTCGGCGCGTGGCGATGCGAGATCGGGCCTGGTTTGGACCGCTTCTGCCATGAACCTTAAAGAAATTAGGAAGAAACTAATTATTAAATTTAGGTGCAGCGCTAATAAGACGGGGGGCAGCATGGTGGCTGAGCGGTTAACGCTGTTGCCTCACACCTCCAGGCAGTTCAGGGTTCGAGTCTCCGCCATGCTCCATGTGTGTGGAGTTTGCATGTTCTCCCCTGTCGTCGTGGGGTTTCTTTCGGGTTCTCCGGTTTCTCCCCACAGTCCAAAAACACGTTCAGGTGAATTGGGGTTGCCAAATTGCTAGAGGTGTGAATGATGTCTCTGCGCTGTGACGGGTTTGCGCCCCATCTTGGGTAACTCCCTTCCGTATGCCTGTAGCTTCTGGGATAGGCTCCAGACTTCAAAGACCCTGCATGGGACACATTGGTATAGAAAATGCATAGGTGCTTAGAAGACGCATTCTAAATAGGGACAATGTTTTAAAAAATGCGTAAATATATATATAAAAAACATCTAATAGACAAAATTCCTGAAGTATTATTATTATTATGTTTAATTTATATAGTGCCTTTCCAGAGCTCAAGACCACATAAATTTAACCAAACAAAACTGAAAATGCATCAAAAACAATTTAAACAAAATAAAGCAAATAAAAATTTTAAACGAAACAAAATGAAATAATGCAAGTTTAAAGCAAACAATACAGACATTATGAATCGGCAGCCTGCAACTGGGAGTAAGACTGTTGGAAATGGTGCGTTTTAATGCCAGCATAGACGGTGGAGAGAGGAGAGATGTTGCGGAGAGGGAGTGTGAGATTTACAACGTTTGGATGCCATTAATTGAATGTTTCAATTAAATTATTGACATCAAAGTTACCTCCGTAACAGCTTAAACGTTTCAGCAGTTCTACAGCTACATATTTTTTAGTTGAAGTTAAGGGGTCCACGTCGATAATCATGATATTAGACTGCCAGCAGCTTAAGGGATAGCTGTGGCCATGTGCCGAGAGTGGACCAGCATGAGGCCGATCATCGCAGGTCAGTTTCATCATGACCACCTGTGCTAATCAGTCATTAATCAGGTTTGAGCCCCGGGTCCTCGCCTGTGAGTGTGGATGGGTGAATGTGTGTATGAATGGGTGAATGTGTGTATGAATGGGTGAATGTGAGTGTGGATGGGTGATTGTGAGTGTGAATGTGTGTGTGGAGTGGTGAATGTGTGTATGAATGGGTGAATGTGAGTGTGGATGGGTGA